CTCACTGTACAACTATATTTCAGCAAATTGAAAAACCTAGAAGAAATGCTTAAATTCCTGGACACATAAAATCTACCAAGATTGAACCAGAAAGAAATAGAATACCTCAATGAATCAATAATGGATAATAGGACCGAAGTTATAATTAAAAAGTCCATTATCAAAGAAAAGCCCAGGGCTTGATGGCTTCACTGCTGAATTCTTCCAAACATTTAAAGCAAAACTAATACCAACTCTACTCAAACTCCTCAAAAAAAATTGAAGAAAAGAATATACTTTCAAACTCATTCTACAAGGCCAGCATTACCCTAATACTAAAACCAGACAAGAATACAAAAACAAAAACAAACGAAAAAAAAAAAAAACACACACACTACAGGCCAGTATCTGATAAATATAAATGCAAAGATTCTCAACAAAATACTAGCAAACTGAATTCAATAACACACTAAGAAGATTATTTACCATAATCAAGGGGGGTTCATCTTAAAGCTGCAAAATTGGTTCAGCATAATACAAGTCAATAAACACAATGTATCACATTAAAATAACTGAGAATGTACAACCTCTTTGGAAATCAGTAAGGAGATTTCTTAAAGAACTAAAATGGAGCTGCCATTTGATTCAGCATTCCCACTACTGGGTACATACCAAAGAAAAACAAATAATTATGTAAGAAAGATGTCTGTGTTCATATGTTTATTGTAACACTAGTCATAACAGCCAAGTCATGGAATAAACCTAAATACCCATCAATGGGGAATTTGATTAAAAAATGCATGTATACACACACATATGAGCATACACACACACACACATACACCACCATGGAATACTACTCAGCAATTAGAAAAAATGAAAAAGAATGAAATTACATCTTTTTTTCTTTTTCTGCAGCCACATGGATGAAACTGGAGGCAATTAGGAAGCGAAATAACTCAGAAACAGAAAGTTAAATAAAGCATGTTCTCACTTCTAAGTGGAGCTAAACGATGGTACCCATGGACATACAAATTAAAATAATAGGCACTGGAGACTCCAAAAGGTGGGCGTATGTGTGGAATGGTGACTGAGGATGAAAGAATTACCTGTTGTATACAATGTTCACTATTTGAGTTATGGGTAGACCAAAAGCCCTGACTTCACCACTATGCAATATACTCACATGACAAAACTGCACTTGCAACCCCTAGATCTATGAAAATGGAAATAAAATTAAAACAGCTTATGATAAATCTTTGAGAAAAAGGACCTCTTCAAGGAGAACTACACACCACTGCTCAAGGAAATAAGAGAGGACCAAACAAATGGAAAAACATTCCATGCTCTTGGACAGGAAGAATCAACATTGTGAAAATGCTATTACTGCCCAAAGTAATTTATAGATTCAATGCTATCCCCATCAAGCTACCATTGATTTTCTTCACCAAATTGGAAAAAAGTACATTGAATTTCATATGGAACCAAAAAAGAGCCAGTATAACCAAGAGAATACTAAGCAAAAAGAACAAAGCTGAAGGCATCATGCTTCCTGGCTTCAAACTATACTATAAGGCTACAGTAACCAAAACAGCATGGTACTGGTACCAAAACAAATATATAGACCAATGGAACAGAACAGAGGCCTCAGTAACAACTCCATATGTCTACAACCATTTGATCTTTGACAAAACTGACAAAAACAAGCAATGGGGAAAGGATTCCCTATTTGATAAATGATGTTGGGAAAATATGCTGTCCATATGCAGAAAATTGAAACTGGACCCCTTCCTTACACCTTACACAAAAATTAACTAAAGATGGATTAAAGATTTAAACGTAAGACCTAACACCATAAAAAACTTAGAAGAAAACCTAGGTAATACCATTCAGGACATAGGCATGGGCAAAGACTTCATGACAAAATCACCAAAAGCAATGGCAACAAAAGCGAAAATTGACAAATGGGATCTAATTAAACTAAAGAGCTTCTGCACAGCAAAAGAAACTATCATCAGAGTGAACAGGCAACCTACAGAATGGGAGAAAATGTTTGCAATCTATTCATCTGACCAAAGGCTAATATCCAGAATCTACAAAGAACTTAAATAAATGTACAAGAAAAAAAAAATAATCCCATCAAAAAGTGGGCAGAAGATATTAACAGACACTTCTCAAAAGAAGACATTTATGTGACCAACAAACCTATGAAAAATGCTCATCATTACTGGTCATTAGAGAAATGCAAATGAAAACCACAATGCCAAATGACGAAATGCTAACAAGAATAGACAATATAGAGAAGAATATAAATGAATTAACAGAGTTGAAAAACACAACACGAGAACTTCACGAAATATGCACAAGATTTAATAGCCAAATTGATCAAGCAGAAGAAAGGATATCAGAGGTCGAAGACCAACTTAATGAAATAAAATGAGAAGACAAGAATAGAGAAAAAAGGATAAAAAGGAATGAGCAAAGTCTTCAAGAAATATGGGACTATGTGAAAAGACCTAATCTACATTTGATAGGTGTACCTGCATATGACGAAGAGGATGAAGCCAAGCTGAAAAATACTCTTCAGGATATTATTCAGGAAAACTTTCCCAACCTAGCAAGGCAGGACAATATTAGACTCCAGGTAATACAGAGAACACCACAAAGATATTCCTTAAGAAGAGCAACCCCAAGGCACAGAATCATTAGATTCACCAGGGTTGAAATGAAAGAGAAAATACTAATGGCAGCCAGAGAGAAAGGTCAGGTTACCCACAAAGGGAAGCCTATCAGACTTACAGCAGATCTCTCAGCAGAAACCCAAAAGCCAGAAGAGAGTGGGGGCCAATATTCAACATCCTCAAAGAAAAGAACTTTCAGCCCAGAATTTCATACCCAGCCAAACGAAGCTTCACAACTGAAGGAAAAATAAATTTTTTTATGAACAAGCAAGTAATCAGAGATTTTGTTACCACCAGGCCTGCTTTACAAGAGCTTTTGAAGGAAGCACTACACATAAAAAGGAACAACCAGTATTAGCCTTTCCAAAAATATACCAAAAGTAAAGAGCATCAACATAATGAAGAATTTACATCAACGAATGGACAAAACAGCCAGCTAACATCAAATGGCAGTAATCCTAAATTTAAATCGACTAAATCCCTTAATCAAAAGATACAGCCAAAACCCAACAGTATGCTGCATCCAGACCCATTTCACATGCAAGGATACACAAAGACTCAAAACAAAGGGATGGAGAAAGATTTACCAACCAAATGGAGAGCAAAAATAAATAAATAAATAAAAAGCAGGAGTTGCATTTCTCGCCTCTGATAAAATAGATTTTAAAGCAACAAAGATACAATGGTAAAAGGATCAATGCAACAAGAAGAGCTAACAATCCTAAATATATACGTACCCAATACAGGAACACCCAGATACATAAGACCTATAAAGAGACTTAGACTCCCTAGACTCCCACACAATAATAGTGGGAGACTTCAACATCAATATTAGATAGATCAATGAGACAGAAAATTAATAAGGATATTCAAGACTTGAACTCAGATCTGGAACAAGTAAACTTAACAAACATTTATAGAACTCTCCACTTTAAATACACAAAATATACATTCTTATCAGTAACACATCACACCTCCTTATAGGTTTAAATGAAATATTGATTGGCCATTATTAAGCACAATTATTGGCATAAAAGAGGTTTTCAATACCCATTTTTAGAATAAAACAACATTCCTGTTCTCTCTCCCTCTTTTTCTTCCTCTGTCTTCCTCTCCTTCATTTCTTTTCTTTTTTTCTCTCCTTCTTACTTTAAAAAAAAAAAGAAAAGAAAACCACAATGCCATCTCATGCCAGTTAGAATGGTGAGCATTAAAAAGTCAGGAAACAACAGATGCTGGAGAGGATGTGGAGAAATAGGAACGCTTTTATACTGTTGGTGAAAGTATAAATTAGTTCAACCATTGTGGAAGACAGTGTGATGATTTCAAGGATCTAGAACTAGAAATACCATTTGACCCAGCAACCCAGTACTTGGTATATACCCAAAGGATTATAAATCATTATACCATAAGAACACATGCACACATATGTTTATTGCAGTGCTATTCATAATAGCAAAGACTTGGAACTAACCCAAATGCCCATCAGCAATAGACTGGATAAAGAAAATGTGGCATATATATACCATGGAATACTATGCAGCCATAAAAATGGATGAGTTTATATCCTTTGCAGGGATAGAGATGAAGCTGGAAACCATTAATCTCAGCAAACTAACACAGGAACAGAAAACCAAACACCACATGCTCTCACTCACAAGTGGGGAGTTGAACAATAAGAGAACACATGGACACAGGGAGGGGCCCATCACACACCAGGGCTTGTTAGGTGGTGGGGAGGCAAAGGGAAGGACGGCATTAGGAGAAATACCATGTAGATGACGAGTTGACAGGTGCAGCAAACCACCGTAGCACGTGTATTCCTATTTAACAAACCTGCACGTTCTGCACATGTATCCAACAACTTAAAGTATAATTTAACAACAAAAAAAACCCAACAGAACCAAGTCCAAAAACCATGTAATTATTTTAATAGATGCTGAAAGACCACTCAATAAAATTTGTCCTCCCTTAATTAAAAAGAAAGAAAGAAGAAAAAAAACTGGCCGAGCGCCGTGTCTCATGCCTGTAATCCCAGCACTTTGGGAGGATGAGGTGGGTGGATCAGGAGATCAAGAAATTGAGACCATCCTGGCCAACATGGTGAAACCCCATCTCTACTAAAAATACAAACATTAGCTGGGCATGGTGATACATGCTTGTAATCCTAGCTACCTGAGAAGCTGAGGCAGAGGAATCCCTTGAACCCAGAGGTGGAGGTTGCAGTGAGCAGAGATCCCGCCACTGCAACGGAGACCTAGCCTGGTGACAGAGCAAGACTCCATCTCAAAGAAGAAAAAAAGAAAACACTCATCAAACTGGATATAGAAGAATACATACCTCAAAACAACAAAGGTCGTAGATGACAAATCCACAGCTAAGGATCGATTGAATGGAGGAAATTGAAGTCTGTTTCTCCCAAACCTGAAAAACACAATGATTTCCACTTTTGCGACATTTATTCAATATAATACTGGAAACCCTGGTCAGAACAATTAGGCAAGAGAAAGAAATAAAGGGCTTCCAGACTGGAAAGGAAGAAGTCAAATTAGCCTTGGTGGTAGTAGACATGATTTTATATTTTATATCTAGATTCCACCAAACAACTGTTAAAACCGATAAATGAATTCAGTAAAGTTTGCAGAATACAAAACCAACCTACAAAAACTGGTAATATTTATATATGCTAACAATGAACAAATGGCAAAATAAATTAAGAAAGCAATCTAATTTGTAATAGCTACAGAGAATACAAAATACTGAGGAATCAATTACCCAAATAAATGCAAGATCTATACACGGGAGATTATAAACACTAATGAAAGAAACTAAAGAGGACAACAGGAAAATGGAAAGATATTTCATGTTCCTGGATTGGAAGAATTAGAAGAATTAGTATTTTTAAAATGGCAATACTTCCTGAAGCAATTCATGGATTCAGTGCACCTGCTATCAATCAATCAGTTAATATGACCAAAAAGACCCCGAGTAAGTGGCTGCAAAGAACTGAAAGCAAAAAGAACAAATCTGGAGGCATCACAGTACCTGACTACAAAATTTGCTGCAAAGTTATAGTATCCAAACAAGCATGGTACTGGCATAAAAACAGTCACATTGACCGATGGAACAGAAGAGAGAACACATATAAATCCATGCATTTACATTCGACTTGTCTCTGACAAACCCATCCTTCCTTTTTGACACTCATCAAATTGTTCCTTGTACAATGTATCCTGTATATGATTTTTTTCCCAAAACTAAAAATTTTGAGATCTTAAACTATGTTTGTTTTATAATCACTGTGACCTCCAGAAAAACTGCCATGACGCTAATAGAGCCTTAATAAATGTTTTTGATAAATTGAATTATAAATCACTAAAGCAACTCTCTACAATAAATTTAATAATACAATTAAAACACACATTGCTTTGTCTCTTAAAAGCAGGTCAAGCCTTTCCCTGGCTTATATAATTTGAAGCAGGCACAGAGGAGCTACATTTTAGGAACCTCTCTGTGAGCATAATATTGAACTGCTCACTGGGCAAGACCTTTAAAAAGCTTATCTGAGGAAGAGATTTTAGGTAAGATGAAGCTGATAGAAGCATACCAATCCATTCTTCCAATTCTTCTGTAATAAGTCCCTAGGTAATATAGACAGTATTACATCAAACCATTGAAGAAATTATGTTTTTCAAAATGTGAATGGATACCATGCCAACTACCCATATTTAGGAAAATCGAAAAAACAGTGCTTTGCAAATTATAGTCAGGTTTTACACGTGGATATTGCTGAGGATGGGCATTGATTCCACATAGGGTTCCTTTCACGGTAAACCAGAGAATAACACTTCCCTATGGTCTTAAAACAAGGAAATATCTGTGCTTTCCCTGAGCAACATTTAGATTCAAGTGTGTGACACCTTCAACAAGTATGTAAGCTTCAAAGTAGTTGCTATCAGCTGTTTCTACCTTACTGTCTACATTTCACCCTTTATTACAACGTTTTCACTTTTTTCTCCATGTTTTTATTCTGCTCAAAGATATATATCTTTATAAAACATCTTGAATTATGTTTCGAACAAGTCAAGTTATGAATAAATAAATGCAATAAAAATAGACAAGCAAATGAGACCAAAATTGAATTTCTTATGTTGGAAAATGTTATATCCCTGGGAACTCTATTACAGCTAGTTAAGAAAGTTTACATTTATAAAACTCTGGGCACCCTCTGGCATTTTTTTTAAAGTGCCAGTAACCAAGAGATTAATGTGCCACTCATCCCTGCATTATCTCATTATCTTAAAATAAGCAGTGTTATTCCCTTTCCACATTTGTATTTTAAGAAATGAAATCCATGACTAACATCTTGAAAATAATTTAATTGTTTAAAATAGTTCAACAATGAGTTGGACGTATTTTTAATATATGTCTCAAGGTTCACACTGCAAATGTTTTTCCTTTTGAGAAATAGCACTTTTACTATTTCCAGTAGTCAGAGCTAGGTGTCTTTGTGAATCTGCTTCCTCTCGACACTCCAGCTGCAATGCTAGGTCTAACTTCTCGAGTGGTGACAACTGCATCATTTGAACTTGGAAAACAGTTAATTAGGGAAATATATTTGGAAAACATATTTTAAGCAATGTTATGGGACGTGATGCAAATTTGTCAATGGATGGAGAAATTGAGAAGTTCAAATAAGTTAGTTAATAGGTAGCATTATTGAGTTATTCCTCTCTGAAAAACAATTTGTCATCCTCCCTTTTTTTAGCTAGCACCCTAAGATTTTCAGTAAGAAAAAATAGCTTCCAGACTGAGATAACTCTTGTAAATGGAGAATCTATTTTAAGGAAAGTTATCTATTTCGAATAAAAAAAGACAGTTAATCCATCCTCTTCTGGAGGCAGGAATCCTATGTGGGGAAAACAGCTGTGATCACATGTTGGGAGAGCTAGTTCTAGCCATGCTTTTCGCCTATAATTAGCTGGAGAAATTGTTGAAATAAAGATGATTATATCTTATCTTAATGTAGTGCTCCCCAGCACATTGATACAAGATTTGCACAAATCACCTCATCTAATTATACAATAATCTTTAAAAATACGTATTTATTATCTAATTTAATCCTGTGACAGCCTTACTAATTAGGCATTACAATACTCATTTTCAGGTAAGACCACTGGGGCACGGAGTGAGCTGATATCTAGCTACAGTTTACCACACAGACTATGCTCTTAGTAATAAAAATACATCTCTGCATTTTCTGCCCTACTTAACCACCCTATCATCTACTGAGACCAAGTTAGAAACACGCCAGCTCTTCTTTCTTTCGTCGTTCCTTACTTCCTTAATTCTCACCTCCCCTTGCATACTCTATGCATATTTCTCTTGCATAGAGCATAAATGCAATGACTCAAAATTATTTTCTAAAAAAAATTGCGTAGCTATCTGACTCATGGACAACATAGTTTTCTTTCACTAAGTTCTGATCTTACTCCTTCTCTTTCTTAAATTCTTCAGTAGTTTTCCATTTTTCACAAAATAATAATAAAAGTCTTCTTCTATATATGTCTTGTCATTTGAAATTGTCCCTCCTACTCACTGTTCTACCTAGACTAAAATGATGTCCTTTGTAGACCCAGAACCTGCTGTACACATTCTGCTCGTACTTTTATTGTACTAGTTTTCCATTTCTGTGTAACAGATCAGCTTGAAAACCAAATCTGTTTATTAGCTGAAAGTTCTGTGGCTCAGAAATCCAGGCAGGCTCAGCCTAATGTTTCAAGGGTAAAAGCAAGGTGTTAGCAGGGCTGTGTGTTGCTTTCTGGAGGCTGTGGGAAAATATCTACTTCCCAGCTTATTCAAACTGTTGGCAGAATTCAGTTCTTTGTGGTTGTTGGACTGAAGTCCTTGGCAGCCTTCATTTTAAAACTAGCCATTGCATGTTGAATCTTTCCTGTGCTTCAAATCTCTCTACCTCTCTTTTCCCCTGAATCTCTCTGGGGTTAGCCAGGAGAAAATTCTCCCTTTTTGAAGACTCCATGTTACTAGGTTATCCAGAATAATCTAGGATAATCTTCCTATTTTAAGGTCCGTAACTTTTATGTAATCTGCAAAGACTTCTTTGCTATGTAACATAATATATTTGCAGGTTCCAGATATGAGGGCATGAACATCTTTAGGGACTTATTCTGCCAACAATGCTTATGCAGTTATATTTATGTGACTGGCTCTTCCATCCTTTAAACTTCCCTCTGTAGTTTAAAAGCTGCAGAACTTCTCTTCCAAAAGAATCTCAACAAATGTGAAGCTTTTCTACACTTCTCAGGTAATTTCTTCTTCCATTCTCAATAAATGTGTGTTGTATGAAAAAAAAAAAAGAGTGCCTTTAAGTGCGTTTAGCTTTTCCAGGTCTTTATTCTCTTAAATAGTTAGGGTCACATTGATTATTTTATATCCATTTTTTTGTACCAGAAAAATCATCTGTATAATCTTAATTAATATATTTTCTTTTGGAATTTCCATAGTTTCCTGATAATTTATGTGCTGCAGTGTATATAGTATATGAATTTTTACAATGACTCTATTAGATAAGTATCATTATTCTCATTTTACAGATGAGTAAATCGGAAGCTCATTCAGGTAAGTGACTTGCTAAAGTCAAATAGCAAAGAAGAAATACATCCCAAACATGAAGACACATGAGAAGTCACAGCTTACTTTCTGTATTATCTTTACATATTTCTCCTGCATGGAGTATAAATTTATCTGTAATTTCTAACTAAATGACAATAATTTATTTATCTGAAAACAATGTGACAATGTTGAAAAATGAAAGGAGACATCATCAAACTCCTTTTCCTGAATAAATAAGACATGGGAGCAAAAATCAATGGCAATTATAATTTGTAAGAATTTATTTGAAGAAAATTAAAACTTACGGTTTAAGATGGAGGATGGAGTACATGATATTTACCTCTTTCCCACTGCCAGATTCATAATTTTAAATTTTTATTAGCTTTTTTATGACTTTCAGTCAACAAAATTTCGTTTTGGTGTGCTGAGTGGTATGCTGAGTGAGCTAATTGTAGGTACTACAATAAACACTAAAACAGAAGTTTAGTGTTCCTAAAAGGCACAAACCCATAATGGTAAAGAGAACTGGAATCAACAATAGATGACAAAGTTCAAGAAATCTCTGAACTTTAGAGAGACAATGGAAGGAATGAATGCTGAACCATGGAAGAACACAACTATGAGGAAGCTGCAAAAGAAGCCTAGGATGTGTTCACCTGGGATCAAGAGAGCCTCTGGACCCAGTATGGGAGGAGGTATGATGACAAGTAGGAGTAAGAAATAGGCTGGAACATTTTTTAATTGAAAGTGAGCAATATACATCTTTTCCATGTGTACAGACTATAAGCAGCAT